CTATGCAAGATTGCTATGAGTTGGAACTGACTTAATGGCACTTAGTAATAATAGCAACAGGGTTGATAAGGAAAAAAAAAATAGGAAAAGGGAAAGCATAACCAAAACACTTCAGAAGAAATATCTACAGATTCACAGAAATTTAAAATAAGAGTTTTATGAATAATATAGGAGCCCTGTTAGTGTAGTTGGCTGCTAACTGCAAGATTAGCAGCTCAACTCTAGCAGCCATTCTGTGGAAGAAAGATGAGGTTTTCTGCTCCTGTGAAGATTTACAATCTCAGAAACTATGTAAAATCACTGAGTCACAACTGACTCAACAGCACACAACCACCACCAACAATATGAATTTTAAAACTTAGATTAAATAAATTCTAAAAAATATATAAAATGTAAAAGAATTAGAATACATGTATAAGTCACAAGTTTACTGAAAGACAACTTTTCTCTCAAATGACATTATTTTTTTTGGGTTAATTCCAGAACATTTAAAGAAATTATTAATTACATTCTTCTACAAGCTGATGCATAAAACTTGAGTTGAAGCTACAAGCACATTTTATGAAACTTGTATAATCTTGATGCAAACATGAGATAAAGAAAATACAAGAAGTTAACAAAATACAAGAAATAAAAACTCTCTAATACATTATATGTTACATAAAATCTATCTTGAAGAAAGTGTTTCGTGAATTTTAATATTTATATAAGAATGGTTGTTGTTGCTAAGTACTCAGAAGCTGGTTTGACTCATAGTGATCTGAGGGTATGACTTACGGGTTTCAACCATTGACCTTTTGGTTAGCAGTCCAATGCTTATCCTATAGCACAACTCCAGGACTCCATATAAGAATGTGTTATTGTTGCTCTCGTTTTTAAGTAAGCAACTCATAGCCACCCTGTATAGGATTTCTGAGACTTTAAATATTCATGGTAACAGAAAGCCTCGTCTTTCTCCCTTGAAGTGACTAGCAGGCTCAAACCTTGGACCTTGTTGTTCACAGTCCAGTGTTTTTCATGTAGAAACACCACATGTCTATAAGGGTGTGTTGTTATTGTTGTTAAGTACCGTTGAGTCAGTTCTGACCCATAGGGACTCTGTATAGGGTTTCTGAGGAATGGCTGGTGAGCTTGAACCAGAAGTCTTGTGGTTCAAACAGACTTTGCAGTCCAGCACATTAATTAACCCACAGCAACACACCAGGACTCCATAAAAATGCATAGCAAAGCGAAAAATTGAAGAGGTCTTTCTGACTTGGAAAAACGACACCAAATACATTCTCTAAGAGTTTTAGTAAATGGAAAACTGTTAGATCTGTTCCTCTCAGATAAAAACAATTAGAGATAAAAACAGTTACAGCTCCTTAATACAGCTACTGGTTAACACAAGCACTGGAGGTGTTTTAATGAAGATATAAAGAAGGAAAGAAAGAGTTGCATGTGATAGATAGCAATCGGTGGAGGTGAGATTATTTGCCAACTGAATAAATCATCATGGTCGTGATGAGTCAGAACTGGCTTGACTGCACTGAACAACAAAACAAGGGAGAAAGTAGTAGAATCAAAAGACAAATTTAAAAAATTAGTAAGTTTATTCAGAAAATATGCCAGGCACAAGCAATGACTTCTAAACTGAGAAAAAAAAGAAACAAGGGCAACATGGAATTGTTGGTGTTAGGTGCCATAAAGTCAGTTCTGACTCATAGAATCCTATGCTCAACAGAATTAAACACTACCCAGTCCTGAGTAATCCTCACAGTAGAATTAGCGGGGAAAAGTACATTATGCAAGATAATAACAAGACTAGAATGTAAATTAAACAAAAATACACAAGGTAATTAGTTGTTATTAAGTGTATAAACAACATTCTTGTCAATGGAGAAAAGATTGAAATTGTCAAGGACTTCACTCTTCTTGGATCAACTAACAACACTCGCGGAAGCAGTAGTCAAGAGATCAGACAACATATTGCATTGGGCAAATCTACTGCACAGGAACTTTTTAAAGTGTTGAAGAGCAAAGATGTCACCTTGAGGACTAAGGTGCGCCTGACCCAA